GTAGACATGCTGAAGTGCTGAAGGAAAGAGTTTAACTATTAGATAAGGCCTCATTTTAACTCAGGTGGAAAACTTAAAGCAACCTCTAGAACAGCTTTCATTTTAAGTATTATGGAACTTTCTGAATAAAATGTCTGGTTTAGGGCCCCAGAGCTGTATTCACTGAAGCTAGGAAGATCTCTCCTTTGATAGTAAATCACATATGTTAACCCAATCTGGTTATTTTGTTTTTCAATTTCCAACCATGTAACAGCCCTATCTGACTGGTCTGGCAATTTTCTCCAGCCATTAGGCCAGATGACTATGTAGATACAGTAGGCTAAAGAGAGTTGTCGTGATGACCATGCACAGAGGAGACACAGGTTTGTACAATCTCCTTTTCTGCCCAGTACCTGCTCACTGAACTGGCCTGCCCCTGCCACAATCAGCACAATGATGTTGCCAACAGCCACTGTCAACAGCCATCCTGCTTGAAGCACCGACTTCATGTTGGAAGGAGCCTGTGGATGCAAAGCAAAGTGAATTTGTATCTAAAGCTTAACCTCAGAGCAGGAGGACACAACTTGCTGATTCATTTAATTAAGCAGCCAACCCTAAAAAAATGCCTATCAGAAGCCAGGTTGGTTTAAATGTACAAAGGATAATCGCTTGGGGAACAACACACTAAAACCTTCTTGGTATATGAATGCACAGCAATCCCCTGCTTTTCACCTGCTACATTGTCATTGTTGCTAAAAGGACAAATCTACATAGGAACCAATTCTTTTTCTACAGAAGAGTTTGCAAGCAAAGCTATCCTACACAATATTTTCCTCCGTTTAAGTAGAGGTTTATCTCTGGGCTATAAGCTTGCTCTTCTGTGAGGTTTCCTGTTGTTTCACCAAAACCTCTCCACATTCTTGTCACCTACATATAGTCCTCTCCTGTACTAGACAGAAAATTCAATGCAGAAAATTCAACTCATATTTACAGTAGTCACTGCAAATACTGGAGGTACAAGGCATTTTGAGATACAATGACTTGAACTGTAGTTTTGATAAAAACATTTCAGAAATTAGGCTTTAATCCAGGTATCAGTAAAATTTGTTCCACTAGTCTAATATACTTAAAAGCAATAATATGTTTCTAAACATGTTTTTTGTTTGGTTGTTGTTAAAAGCTAGATCATATTCAGTGTGTTTACTGGCAGCTACAAAGCAACCTCAACCAAAACAAAGAAATGAGGACACAGATTTATAAATGAGCACTGTTATGAATAGTTAATATCATTTGGTTGTTTCAGTATATAGAAGCGCTTAACTCTGATGACCTGGGCAGCAGTCACTAATACAGTATTTTTCTCCTTAGGACTTCTAGTGCATGACAGTGTGAGTACATACACATATGTAAACATACACTCATACAGCTGAACAAAATGTTATTTTTATTTTGTAAAGATGAGACACCGATCTCAAAGATCCTGTTCTTTGGTTGTTTTTAGGTGCTGTCGTCATAGTGGCACTATGTACAACAGAACAAAACACTGCCCAACCATGCGCCATCCTCACAATCCTTGCGGTGCTTGAGCCCATCATTGCAATGACTGTGTCAATCCATTTTGTTGAGGGCCTTCCCCTTTTTCACTGACCATTTACTTTACCAAGCATGATATCCTTTTCCAGGGACTGGTCCCTTCTGACAACATGACCAAAGTATGTGAGATAAAGCCTGGCCATTCTTGCTTCTGATTGTACTTCCTCCAGGGTAGATTTGTTCATTCTTCTGGCAGTCCATGGTATTTTCCGTATTCTGTGCTAACACTACAACTCAAAAGCATAAACTCTTCTTTGGTCTTCCTTTTTCATTGTCCAGCTTTCACATGCATAAGAGGCAAATGAAAACACAGTGGTTTGGGGGCTTGGGTTAGGCTTAACTTAGTCTTGAAAGTGACATCTTTGCTTCTTAACACTTTAAAGAGGTCTTCTGGAGTAGATTTGCCTAGTGCAATAGAATGTTTGATTTCTTGACTGCTGCTTCTATGGATATTGATTGTGGATCCAAGTTAAATGAAATCTCAATCTTTTCTCCTGTTCTATGGAAGATACCATAATTCTCTTTAGAATTTTTTAAATCTATAAACATATGACTACACCAGATTTAAATTAACTACCAGTAACATTTTTTAACAGCAGCTGACAATAGAAACAGCAAGTATTTTTTACAGGCAGGAGTGTAGGAATAGGGTAGTAAAAAAAAAATAATAATAATTAACAAAACACCTGAGAATATGAGAATTCCAATCCGGTGACAGAGAAGACTACTTCTCCACAGGTGATAAGGAAGTACTGGGGAATTTGCAGAGCCATGTTGACTGTGTTGGGTGGAATGTCTAAAAACTCCTTCTTGATAGGGCAACCTGCACTCTAAAACAATAAGGAGGAAAAGGAAATTAGAATCAAGATTGCTTTTTATAATAAACATTGTTCAAATGAAGTTTTACCTTCTAGGGTTAAGTCATAAGATTTATTAAGTAAGTATACATTTTATATGCAAATATCCAATGTTTATTTTATACTTATAATGGAATAACCTTGGTGGGATTTGAACATCCATTCATTATTATTATCCTCTTAAATAAGAGAGTACATTAGAAGTCAAAGGGGCTCTGGTGGTATAATGGTTAAAAGCATTCAGTGGCTAACTAAAAGGTCAGTGGTTCAAATTCAACAGCTACTCCACAGGAGAAAGATAAGGCAGTTTGCTTCCATAAAGATTTACAGCCTTGGAAACCCCATAGAGCAGTGCTGTTCTGGCCAATAGGGTCACTATGAGTTGGAATCAACTTGATGGCAGTGGGTTTGATTTTTTAGGTTTTCTTTGAGAAGTCAGGTTTGTTTAAACCACTGTCATCACTTTGAACTAAACGTTCCTAAAGGCTATGTTAATAATCTATAAGGAAGCATCAGATATATGAACTTTTAGTCAGAGTACATCAGTCTGTTTAATTTTATTCTAAGGGTTAACTTTAAATTAATGGTAAGTTAAAGAGTTAGTGGTGAATGAAATTAGTCCTAAGCCCATTTAAAATACACATTCTAATAGTACTCTGGTTAAATCATTACTATATCTAAAATGTTTGTAAGGATTCATATCAATAAAGTTTGAATAGAACCTTTGATATGGTGCATTGAGTTACTAACCTGCCTTACTATTACGTAGGTATATGCACTACCAAATTCAAGATAGGAAGATTTAAAACTTGTACACCCTGGTGAAATCTGCGTTGAGTTTATTTCAAAGGTTTTCCTATTAAAAGAAAGAATGATGTAGGTTTAACATTCTTGGTATTAAAAACTTGAAATCCTTGTACTTTGGAGCAAAGTGTCCAGTAGAGGTACTTACATGCCAGAAGGAAAAAACTGATATTCACTGGCATTGTAACTGGTGATATTTTCATAAACTTTTCCATCCATGTTGATGCTGATAGTCTCATCAAAAGTATTAACAAATCTGAAAAAGAAAACCATTTGTCTTGTAACTGGTATAGAATGATCTAGGTCACAGTAGCAAACCAAAACCAAACTCACTGCCATCGAGTTGATCCCAACTCATAGCAACCCCCATTGGTTTTCCAAGGCTATAAATCTTTATGGAAGTAGATCACCCCATCTTCCTTCCATGGAGCAGCTGGTGCGTTTGAACTGCTGACCTTCTGGTTAGCAGCTAAGTGCCTTAATTACTACTATGCCACCAGAGCTCCTTAGGTCACAGCACATGCACCTGAAATTAAGATGTTCTCTTTTTTGGATGTAAGAAGTTTTTTTTCTTTTTGTGAGTTAGACTTTTTTTTTTTTCTTTCACTTTTATTGTGGTGAAAACATACACAACAGGACATTCACCAACAAAACAACTGCCCCATTTACAGCTCAGGGACAGTGATGACATTTTTCATGTTGTACCACCATTATTGCTATCTTTTTCCAAAATATTCCACCACCTATTAGCATAAACTCAATGCCCCCCAAACAAAACCTTCAAAGCTTCTCCTTACCCCTCCCTTCTATCCCTAGTAAACACTAATAATCTTTGCCATATATATATATATATATATAT